AAACAAGAAACATCATTTCACAGGCCAAGTGGTCATCTTGTATTATAGTGCTTATGCTAATAACCATTTTAATAGCTAACATGAGTAAAGCATTTACAATGAGAGAGAAAGAGAGAGAGAGAAAGGAAGAGGGAGGGAGGAAGAGAGGGAGGGAATGGGAGGGAGGGAGGGAGGGGGAGAGACACAGAGAGAGAGAGAGAGAGAGAGAGAGAGTCATTTGATCTTCAGAGAGATGGTTTCAGAGCCAGGAAGGCTTGGATTCAAATTCCATGTCTCCCACATATTGGCTGTGTCACCCTAGACAATTCATTCAACTTCTAACCTTTAGGCAATTCTCTAAGACCTTAAGTAAAGACAATTTGAATTGGTGGAGGGGGTTCTGTATTCCAGTGAAGTCACAGATCTAGTGCCTGTCCCTAATAATCCAAAAGACCAACATAAAAATAATTTCTCTAGTGCATTAACATAGTTTTGGAGGATTAAGGGGTCTGGAAGTTCTGTGAAAAACTCTAAATTAAAATAACATATATATTTATACTTGGTGACTTCACTGCAAAGATGCAAATAGAAAGAATTCAGTGAAAAATATGTTGGAACATATGGACCTGGAATAAGGAAGGAGAGGGACCCAAAACTTGTAAAACTACTGAGAAGTCTCATACCTATAAATTATTAATACCTCCTTTGAGGAAAGAATAAAAAATGCTGAACACATGGATCTCCTAAGTAATGCAACAACAAACATCAAGAAATTGATTATATTTTAAACTACAAGATATGATTCATTCCCTATATGGCAGTCATTCCTAAATCGCCTAAGTACGATCAGATCATCAACTGGTTAAAGCAAAGGTCCTTCATCGTTTCTGAGTCATGGACAGAATTGGTAGTGAAACAGAAGAAATTGCTCTGTGAAGTTTGGATTCAGTCAAAGGGCTTCACTTGAGGACCTAGAGGACCACATGTAGCCTCAAGGCCACAGGCTCCCCACTCCTGGCCACTGTTCTCTTTTTTAAGTTGTTATTGTCTTCAATATTTTGTGCCTCCTTTACTGACTTTCTTGCAGCACCACTCTCATTTCTTTCCCCAATTTTTCCTCTACCTCTCTTGAGTTTTCAAATCCTTTTTGAGCTCTTTCAGGAATTCTTTTTGGGCCTGAGACCAATTCATATTTTTCTTTGAGGCTTTGGATGTAGTGGTTTTGACTTTGTTGCCTTCTCAGTTTGTTTTGATCTTCCTTGTCACGATAGTAACTTTTTATGGTCAGGTTCTTTTTTTGTTGTTTGCTCATTTTCCAGCCTATTTCTTGACCTTTAAATGTATGTTAAAGTTGGGCTCTGCTCCCCGGTACACTGAAGGTACAGTGTAGAAGGTACACCGCTTCAAACTTCAGGGGTTTTTTGCAGCTGTTTTCAGAGCTAGTTCTGGGGGTCTGTAAGTTTTCAGTTCTTCCAAGGTGATATGATCTAAGAAGAGGTGTGGTCACTGCTCACCTGGTCTGTGCTCTTGTCTGTGAGTGACTGTGAGCATTCTTTTCTTCCATGAAGCTGTGACCAGGGTCCCCACCCCCTGTGACCACAAGGTCTGGTGTGTTGCTGCTCATCCTCATCCTGGGACTGTGACCCAGGACTACAATTTGCACATGGTCCTGCCCTCAGTGCCAGCAAAGGGACCCCTGTAATCCCCTTTTGACTAGTAGTCTTACCCCCTTACCATCTGTGGGCTGAGAGCTCCAGAAGCTGCCAATTCAATTGCCCCCAAGGCTTCCTGCTGTCTTAAGGGGGCAATGTCTGCACTGGGCTGTCCACTCTCACCCTGACTTGACAGACCTTACCTGCTGACTTTATAGGTTGTCATCGGCTGGAAAAATTTTTCACCCCATACTTTTGTGGGTTCTGCCACTCCAAAATTCATTCTGAGGCATTATTTTAAAAGTATTTGGAGGGGAATTTGGGAGAGCTCAGGAAAGTTTCTTTCTTTTCTCTACCATCTTGGCTCCATTCTCAACAAATAATATTTTTAAAGAAAAAAAAAGAGTAAGAAGAGAAAAAAAATCAGCCAAACTGATTGCCTTATGGAAGAAGTCTGAAAATGTCTGCAGTGTTCCCCACCTGTGCACAGGGATGTGCAGGAACCATCTCTCACCAGCTTGTGAGAGTAACTTATTACATTTTCAAGGTGGTCATTTACACCACAGAAATCAGAAATTGCTACCATTCAGTGTCTGGTTTATACTTTTGTTGACTATCTATGCTTAAGAACATGTTAATAAAGCAAATTAAATTTAAGTTTATGTTTGCATTTTTTATTGAGAGCCTGGTTATTAAATCTATATCAGCACACCCCCCCTCATATTCTATAAACAGTGTTTGAGCTCAGCAGAAGGAAAATGGGACAACAATTATGTTTGCAAAGTGCTTTACATCTATTAATTCATTTGAGCCTCATGACACCCCTGCCTAAGGACCTCCTATTTCTGCAAAGAAGGGGCAATCCTTGTTCCTTGTAATTTTGCAATATCTATTTTTGATTGTTTGGTGATTGTTGTTTTTTCTGTTTATGTTATTGTGGTCATTATGAATGTTGTTTCCATCAAGCCCCCAGGAAACCTCATCATCAGGAAAAAACCAAGCTCATTATTCTACCAAGATGGCAACAGCTTTGATCCTCACACCTCATCAGTGTTCTCAGCATCCTCCATACCCTCTGCTTCTTTCACTGGAAGGTTAGAGAGCAGAGCAAAGGACCCCTCCCAAAGTCTCCATTTAAAGAGGACCCCAGGCCAGCCCTCTCAGCTTCTTTCTGTGTGTTGTCTTCACAGTCAGATAGTAAGTACCTTGGACAGAAGCTGTCTTTCTTTTTTCCCAGTGCTTAATACAGTTCCTGGCACATAGTAGACTCAATAAATGTTTATAAGCTCTGTTCACTCTGCATCAGCTCATGTAGCTCTTTTCACGCTTCTCTCTATTCATCCTGTACAAAATTTCTTACAGCACAGTAATATTCCATTATATTCATGTACCACAAAGTCCCCCTATCAATGAGCATCTACATTCTTGGATAGCACAAAAAGTGTCACTATAAATATTTTTGTCTATATGTTATTTTTTCCAATTTGCTAGTTGTGAGGTAATAGCTTGGGGTGATTTTAATTTGCATTTTTCTATCATTAGTGATTTGGGGCATTCTTTCATATGGTTGCTCACAGTTTAGAAATCTTTTTATAACTGTTTATTCATATCTTTCAATCACTTCTCTATTGGGCAATGACTTTTGCTTTTTTTAAATATCTATCTCTATCTATCTCTACATCATCCATATCTGTATACATCTTAGTTGTCTATATATCTTGGTTACTAAATCTAATCTGAAAAATTGATACAAAGATTTTTTTTCCATTTGACCACTTCCCTTCTTATGCTTGATTCATTAATATTGTTTGAACAGAAGTTTTTTTTTAGTTTCATGTGATCAAAATTATGTATCTTATTTTTTTGTAATTTCCTCTATCCCTTGTTTGGTTAAGACTTCATCTCTCACCCATAGCTGTAAAAGGCATCTACTCTATATGTCTTCTAATTTTTGAATGGCATGGTCTTTAATATTAAGCTCATGTTTCTATCTTTAATTTCTTGTAGAATATGGTATAAGATGGTGGTCTAAACCTAATTTCTACAAGTCTGTTTTCTAGTTTTCTAAGTATTTTTAAAAATCAAACACTGAGTTCTTTCCTAAGTAATTCATATTTTTAGGTTTACCAAGCACTGAGTTGTTGAGTTTCATTGCTTCTAGTTCTCTTCCCTTGTCTAGTTTTTGCCATCAACTTACTTCTCTAATTTTAACCACTACAAAATGATTTGGATGACTACTGCTTTATAATATAGCCCGAGGTATGGAAGCACTATTCCACCTTTTCCTAAATTTTTCATTATTTCCCTTAGTATTCTAGCTATTTTATTTCTCCAGAAGAATTTTATTTTGTGTATTTCTATAACATATCCCTTTGATAAATTGGTACAATATTAAAAGTGTGAATTTATCTTGATTGTCTTGTCATTTTTATCATGTTGGCACTGCCCAGCCATGAGCACTAAATATTCCTACAGTTATTTAAGTTGTTCTTTATTTTTTTAAAGTAGCTCTTTGTAATTGAATCTAAGTATTTTGTGTGTTTCATTAGATTGAGCTTATAATATCTTCACACATTTTTGTTGTTATTTTTAATAGAATATTCCTTTCTATTACTGCCTTTTTGATTTTGTTGTAATAATATAGAAATTCTATTGACTTCTGTGGGTTTGTTTTGTGGCCTACAACTTTGCTGAAACTATTATTTCAATTAATATTTTTGATGATTCCCTAGGATTTTCTGAGTAAGACATCATGTTGCCACAGATAGGAATAGTTTTCTCTCCTCTTTCCCTATCTTTATCCATTTAATTTCTTTTTCTTTTCTTAGTTCTATTGCCCCTCAGTACAATGTTCTCTACTCAGGAGATTGTATAAGCCACCAATGTGACAACAGATCATTTCAAAGAAGCAGAGAATGTTAGACCTCAGCAGCCATCTACTCCAACCTGTAACTGAAAAAGATCCCCCACTATAACATGTTTGACAACTGGTGATCCAGCTTTTGATTGCAAACCTGAAAAGGGCAGAAACCACTACCTCCCAAGGTCAACCATCCCACTTATACATAGCTCTAATGGTCAGAAAGTTTTCCCTCAGCTTACCTCTTTGCAACTCCCACATATTGCTTCTGGTTCTACTCTCTGGTCAAAGGGAACATAAAGGGATCTCATATGACAGTCCTCCAAATACTTCACAGCAATGATTAAGATCCCCACTCCTCCATCAAGTCTTCTCCTATTTGGGCTAACCATCACCAGTTGCTTCACCCCCTTTCCATATGACATGGACTTAAGGCCCTTTTCCCTCCTGGTTGCCCTCCATCTTATCACTTCCTACCCAGAAGTGAATGTAAGACTCTAGGTGTTAGAAGGACCATGGCAGGACATGGAGGGACAATTACCTTCCTTCTCTTTGGGGCTCTGCCCTTCTTTATTCAGGCCAAGAAAGCATCAGATTTTTTGGGTGCCCTTTCACATTACTGGCTCATTTTAGGTTTACAGTTCACTCAGACTCCCAGACCTTTCCCCAAACAACCTAATGTCTAATCATGGCCCCTCATTCTTGTCCTTATGTTGACGATCTTCTGAACCAAATGTAAGACTTCACATTGATCACCATTGAAATTCATCTTCTGCCTTTCAGCCCGAAGCTCTAGTCTGGTCTGTCATGATCTTTTTGGCTCCTGACTCTGTCATTATCCAATATGTTAGCTATGTCTCCTGGTGCTGTTCCAGCTGCAATCTCATGGTGAAATCTCATCAAATTAATTTAGACACAAAAGCAATGAAAATAACAGGGTTAAGATGACCTAACATTAGAGCCATTCTTAGGCCCTATATGCAAATGGGTGAATCCCCTTACAAACTCTAAGGTGATTATAATATAACTCTTAATCACCCAGAATTTGGGGGAGAATCACTTCCAAACTCATGACTCAGGAGTAAAAATCTTAGAGTTCAGGTTCACTTCCTGAAAGCGACTGACCTGGTAGTTCCCAATGCCACCTCAATGAGAGGGCTATGGGTGGGACCTTGCCCATCTCTGAGTCTCTGCCTCACAGACAAGCTTCTCAGGGCAGTCTTGAGGTCTATAAAGTCACTTGAGGGAGACTGGGGATCTAAGGAAACCTCTTACTTTTGCTCTGGGGTCATCAGTGGTCTGCTGGTACTGTTGTCTTTCCCAGGCCTGGGTTAGCCTCCTCATATCCACTCAGGACCACCTCTTGTAGCCCCACTTTTTAAATGTCCTGACTCTCAGAAGACAACCCGTTCAAGTCTTCACTTAGAAATGTCCATCCTCAGTGTCCAAATGTGGAGCATCCTGGGAAATGAAGTCCAGAGAATTTATCCCAATAATTTGGGCCAATACATCGTAAGGAATGATCTCGTGGGAAGCCTCCTCAATCTCACTTTCTACACACATAAAATAGAAGGAATAAATTATTTTATTTCAGAGGCTGCTCCATAGAAGGACAATGTCCCTTAATTTTTTTTAAACGTATGTAATTATTCAAATGCTGCCCTTGACTGAAGGCATCTTATATCCTGTCTAATTTGGCTTGACCATTTGTAAGCTCACCCAATGGACTGTGAGGTAATGCTCAGATCTTGGTCCATTTTATTGTGTGTCTTACCCAGATTTAGTTTAAGAATGGAAAGATATTGGCCTGTCTTGGAAGGTGGAGGTCAGACTTTGTTACCTTGGCTACTTCCCTGAGTGTTTAGCCCAAAGGTTCATCCACTCTGCCCTGAGTAAGGGATACCCCTTGTGCATGTTTTTTGAGCCAGGAATGACAGAGAGAATTGGTCAGGGTCAGGTATCTATCAAATCTGCAGAAATTTCCTGATGTACCACCATAATTTGGTGACCCATAAATTGACCCCAAGTTCAGTCATGTACTGGATTTCGGGAGTCACCATTTTCCGGCACAACTGGCTGTACTGATGACTGATATGCTTCTTTAGGTTGTAACCAAGGATTGTCTTTGCCCCCATTGCCTGCCAGGGCTGCAGTGATGGTTTCTCAATGTCCTTGGCATCCACTGCATGCTCACCATCAATGCAGATCCTTTCCATTCGCTCGTTCTCCCGCCGCAGCGAGGCCACCTCGCGGGCCATGCGCTCCCGCCCGAAGGCCTCCACCTTGTGCCAGAAGCTGGCGTTGAAGTGGCGGTAGAGCAGCGCGTCCAGCTGGTTCCAGGCGGTGGCCCGCCGGTAGAGCTCGCCAGTCAGCCGCGGGACGGCGGAGGCCTGGCGGGCGTTGAGCTTGAAGTAGACGATGTCCTCGAGCTCCCAGCACAGCAGCTCCTTGAGCAGCACCAGCGACTCGTCGAAGTACTCCTGCAGCATGACCAGGTGGAACCTCTGCTCCACCTCCAGGATGTGCGCCTCCACCTGGGGGCTGCGGGGGTCCAGCCCGCTGTCGTAGCCCAGGTCAAAGAAGAGCAGGTTGCGGAGGTAGTGGGCGTTGAAGCCTTTGGGGTCATAGTAGCGGTGCGGGTCCTGCAGGAACTTGGCCAGCTTGTCGCGGCCCGTGAGCTTCCATGTGAAGGGCACCAACACCTCAAAGTACTGGAAAGATGACTCAAAGAGATGGGCTGGATCCCGTAGCACTGTGATGAAGGTAGCATTGGGGGTCACCAAGCTATGCACTTCAGAGTAGGAGAAACGCATATGGTTGCAGATGATATTGAAGCAGTCGCCAGGCTGGTAGTTGTGCACCATGTTACGCTTGAAGAAGGATGGGTAGTTAAAGTCACTCATTCCACTGGGGAAGGCAAACTTGAGGTTGTACTTCTGGCCAAAGCGGAGGAGGATATTTAACAGGGTGCTGCTGGCAGTCTTATGAGTCTTCATGAACACAACATCTAACTTTGGCCAGCAAGAGCCTTTGGGGATGTTGGCAGGTGAGGTGGGTGGAGAGGAACATTGGGCTGGTTCTGGGACCCTGTTGGGAAAGAGAATGGTGAGACCTTTGGTAAGAAAGCTATAATCATTTTATCTTATCATGTGTGACCTTGGGTAAGTCCTTTCTCCTCTCTAGGTCTCAGCTTCCTCATCTATAAAGTAAGAGCCGACCAAGAGATATTATTTGCAATGAGAAAACACTAGAAACCTTTCCAATAAGATTAGGGGTAAAACAAAGATATCCATGGTCACCACTGTTATTAAATATGGTTTTAGAAATGCTACCTCAATAAGATAAAACAAAGAAATCAAAGCAATAAGAACAGGCAAACATCCCGAATCACAGATAATATGATAGTTTACTTTGAGCACTATAGAGATTCAACAGTCAAATGCTACAATAAGCTCCACATAGAGAGCTATGTTATAAATAGAGATGGGCACATCCTGAAAATGTTGGAAGAGAACGGAATGGAGCTGCTTACACACCTGTGGCCGAGGGGAGAATTATTAACTGAACAAAAGGTAGAAATGATCATATAAGAGAAAAGTCAAGTTGGATTATGTAACATTGAAAAGTTTTTGTAAAACTATTAGTAGTACAACTAGAATTAGATGAGAAGCAGTTAAATGGGAAAACTTCTTTGCAGCAAACATCTCTATTAAAAGTCTTACATACAGGATATATTTATCTGTATATTTACATCTGTATCTACATCTATCTGTCCATCTACACAAATAGACCTGCATACACACACAAACACACATGCACGTGTACACGCATATGTACACATGCACATCTGACTATATGAGAACAAAAATCATTCCAGAGGAGATAAGTGGTCATAGGAGTGATAAGTGATGGGAAAGCAAGTTAACTGGTAGAAATAAGGTAGAGGAGTCAGGAGGGATAGAAAATAAGAGATATGCACAAACATAAAAAGAAAGATTAGAAGTAGAATTTGTTAGGGAAAATATATGTATGTGTATATATGTATATAATCTATATATAAATATATCTATGCTTAATTATAGCCTAATGGGGGCAGGGGCAGGGAAAGAACGGAGAATAAAGAACAAGGTAAAAAGTGCACAGCAGAGAACATAGGAAAATTTACAAGGAAGCAAAAAAAAAGATGGCTAGCTCTCAACACAATGTGCAATATTTATTACATAGGCTTTCTTGAAATGGAAGTTTATTGCTATATATTTTGAATCCTCTCTTATGTTCTGCTTGGCACATGAGCCTTTTTTTTTTCTTATTTTGTATTTAAGTTTATGATGTTTCTTTTTCTTTTCTTATTGTCTTTTTATGTTTTAGTATTTAAGTCTAAAATGAAAAAAAGAAGAAAAAGAAAGACTTGTATCTAGTAGCCAGTATTAAATGAAATAATATTTGGAAAGTGTTTAGCACAGTGCCTGACACACAATAGGCACTGTATAAACACTTATTCCCTTTCCTTTCTTCCTTCAGTAGGGAGAAGGGAGCAAGAAATATCAAGTATCATCTGGCCAACTCTACCCTCCATAGCAATGCTCACCCATATTACAATAGCAAATCTTGAAGGGACTGTAGAAAGACAAGCATTATTGATGGAGTTGGGAATTAGTTCAAATTCTAGAATTACACCAAAAAATTTATCAAACTGTACATGCCCTTTCACCAACTGATAACACTACTAGACACATGGCCCCAAGGAGGACAAAGAGCGAGGGGAAAGTTCTAGGTATACAAAAATAATTCTAATTGCACTGATAAAAATATTTATGGCAGTATTTTTTTGTAGTAGCAAATAACTAGAAAGAAAGTGAATGTCCATCTACTAGGCAGTGACTGAACAAAGAGGAATTTAATAGAATATTATTGTGCCATAAGAAATTGTAGATATGAATTCAGAGAAATTTGGGAAGACTTGTATGAAAAGATGTAGAACAAAGTAGGAAAAGCCAGGAGAACAGTTTACACAATGACTACAGTAATGTAAAGGAAAACGACATTGAAACACTGAAATTTGTATCACACTTAATTGGGTATGGAAATCTATCTTACCCTACAGGAAAATAGGGGGGGAAGGGGATAAGAGAGCAGAGGGATGATAGAGGGGAGGGCAGATTGGGGGAGGGGGTAATCAGAAGCAAACACTTCTGAGGAGGGACAGGGTCAAAACAGATAATAGAATAAATGGGGGGCAGGATAGGATGAAGGGAAATACACTTAGTTTTTCACAACATGACTACTATGGAAGTGTTTTGCATGACTATACATATATAACCTGTATTGAGTTGCTTGCCTTCTCAATGAGGATAGGTGGGGAGTGAGGAAGGGAAAAAATTTGGAACCCAAAGTTTTAAAAACAAATGTTAAAAAAAATTGAAAAAATTGTTTTCACATGCAATTGGGAAATAAGATATACAGGAAATGAAGTATAGAAATCTATCCTGCCCTACAGGAAAATTGAAGGGGAAGGGGATAAGAGAAGGGGGGGAGATAAAAAGGAGGGCAGATTAGGGGAAGGGGTATTCAGAATGCATGCCATCTTGGGGTGGGGGGAGGGAGGAGATGGGAGAAAATTTGGAACTCAAAATCTTGTGGAAGTGAATGTTGAAAACTAAAAATAAATTAATTAATAATAAAAAAATAATAAATAGAACTTGTATCAAGGCAGTGTTCAGTAATGACTTTATGAGACTAAGGGTGAAGAATGACTCCTATCTCTTGGTGGCGGACCATGGGTGTCAAATGAGGCGTGGCTAATTTTTAGATTTGGCCAATTTGTTTTGCTTGACTGTATTTATTTATTTATTATGAGGGTTCTCTTGGTGGGTGAGTGAGAGGGGGAAGTAACAGTGAAGTTAAGAGAAGATTATCAACAAAACTTTAATAAATAAATATGCAAATAAACAAAATGAGGGAGTTTGGAATAGATGGTGTCTAAGGTCCTTTCCAGTTCTTGTCCAGTTCTAACATTCTTTGTTCTAGGTTTCTTCTAGTTCTAACCAGCTGTGACCCCCTTCTATTCTGACTAGATTCTATATTATATATAGATATATAGATATACGTCCCTTCCAGTGCTGACAGACCAAAGTCCCTTAGATTTAATTTTGCATATTTTGCATTTGAAGGTTCTGTGAAGCTTTTACTCCCTATGTTCTGCCTTCATAAATCGAACACTCTGTGCTCTCAGATCCCCTTTGGGTCTGACATTCTATGCTCTAAGACCTCTTCCAATTATCTATGTTCTATTTTCAGCTCCTAAGTTCTATGTTCTGACATTCCTCTCAGTTCTGACATTTGTCTTTTTTCTTCCAGTCCTTCCATTCTACATTCTATGTTCCAGTTCTAACAGCCAGGAGTGCTTCAGCCTCTTCCTCTCCCCCAGGCTCTCTCTTGTCTGTGGTGGATATGAGTCTTCCTTTCATGGGCCCAGAGAGACATTACCTTTGAAGTGAGGGGCCCCTTCTATCCACTCCCCTTATAGGGTTTCTAACAATGGAACCCTCAGTCTGCGTGGGGGCCAGTCTTGAGGCCAGGAGGATGCCCAAGCCACCCTCTTTCCCACCTCTTTGCTTCTCACTCACTTGGTCAAGGTGGCTTGAGAAGGAGCAACACTGTACGAGTAGAGCAGCAATAGAAGGCCGGTAAAGAGGCAACCCAGAAGGAGCCCCTTTGCCATGCTGCGCCAGGGCTTCCTGCAGGATGGCATCTCAGTCACCTGGGGAACAGAGAGAGAGAGAGAGATAAAGGCAGCAGCTATGAAGTGAACAGCAGCAATCACAATGACCACTCCCCTTCATAGCTACCAGAGGATGTGTCCTCCCCTGTCTCATCTGAGCATCATATTGGAAGAAATTCACATGTAGGGAGACCTGGGAGGTTTGGCTGCTGGCAGATATCCATGATGAAGACGAGGCTATGTATACCTAACAGGAGCTCGAGAAAGCCACACGCCCTTGGAGACTGAGTGACTACACATTTCTGTTGGTGGAATCTTAACTGGGCCCTCAGTGCAGCAAGACAGTCCCTTCACACCTCCCTAAAGGTTGGCTCGCCTCCTCCTCCTCATCCTCCTCCTCCGCTTCAGTCCAGCAGCTCTTCCAAAACTTCTCATCCCTCCTCAAGCCTCTTCCAGAGCCTCTTCCCCATCTACTCAGCTGAGGACTTGACTTTCACCTGACTGACAATGTGAGGATCTGCCGGTGGAGTAGGAAAAGATTGAAGGACCTTCCACTGCTGGGGGATGCCAAGCACAGCTGTACTGACCAGACCCCTCCCAGGCTGTGGCTGCAGGGGAGAAGGGCTAGCACACACCTGGTAAGTGCAGCAGCAGTGGCTGTGGGCACTTGCAGGAGAGCAAAGGCACTGGTTTCAGCTCCAGGGCGGAGAGGACAGATGTAGTTTGCAGCCACCTGAGGGACTACAAGGAGAAAGATCATTTGCAGAACAGCATGGCTGGGGGCTCTAGCTGTGGCTTAGGAGTGGAGAGGAGAGCCCAAGGTTAAGCCCAAGGACAGACCTTAGAAAATAACAGTAGGAAATGCCTGAGACTCGGGACATCATTCCTCATACCTCAGGACTAGAACTTGATTACACCAATAGCTGCTGAAAACAAAATGAAACAAAAAAACAAATAAATAAAAATGAGTAAGCAGAAGAGAAAGAACCCAACCATAGATAGATAGAGAGATGGAGATATAGAAGATCTAGGTTCATATTCAGAGGAAGATAGCAAAGTGAAAAAAGTCACTTCTTTTTCAATGAGAAATGTCAAATGGTCCCAAACGCAAAAAGAGTTCTTGGAAGAACTTAAAAAGGACTTTAAAAATCAAATAAGAGAGATTGAGGAAAAATTTGAAAAAAAAATAATAAAAGCAATCCAAAAAAAATTACGAAAAGAAAGTCAACCAACTTGAAATAGAGAACCAAAAACTTAAGGAAGAAAATAATTAATTCTTTGAAAACCAGATTTGGGCAAAGGGAAGTTAATGACATTCTAAGACACCGAGAAATAATAAAATAAGATCAAAAGAACGAAAAAATAGAGGAGAATGTGAAACATCTCATCAGAAAAACAACTGATCTGGAGAACAGATCTAGGAAAAATAATATGAGTAGTTGGACCACCTGAAAATTTTGATTAAAAAAAAGAATCTTGATACAATATTACAAAAAAGAATCAAAGAAAATTGCCCTAAATTAGAATGTGAATGGGATGAATTTCCTCATAAAATGGAAACTGATAACAGATTAAAAATCTGAATTCAACATTATGTTGCTTTCAGGAAATTCTGTAAAAATGGAAGATACACACAAAGATAAAATAAAGGTCAGGAGCAGAATTTATTATGTAAAAAAAGCAGTGGTAGTAATCGTGATCTCAGACAAAGTTAAAACTAAAATAGATTTAATCAAAAGAGAAAAATAAGGAAACTACACTGTGTCAGAAATCTTATTCAATATTGTTTTAGACCATTTAAAATATCTAGACAGTATAAAATACCTGAGACTATACCTGCCAAAATAGACATATGAACTATATGAATATAAAAATAAAACTTTTTATACAAATAAAGTCAGAGCTAAATAATTGAAGTAATAGTTATTATTTATGGGTAGGTAAAGCCAATATACTTTTTAAAATGACAATTTTACCTAATTGAATCTATCTATTCAATGCCATGCCAAGTAAATTACTAAAAAATTATCCTACTGAGTTAGAAAAAAATAATAACAAAGTTCATATGGAAGAACAAAAGGCCGGGAACTTTAAAGAAACTAGAGAGAAAAGATGTAAAGAAAGTAAATTCAGGATTATCAGACCTTAAACTATATTATATGGTGAGAGCATTGTTGAAGTATAAAATGGATAATTTCAATTATTTTAAATTAAATTTTTCTTGTGTAAATAAAACCTATGCCACCAAAAATAGAAGGAATGCAGAAAATTGGGGGAAAACTTTCAGAGACAATGTCTCAGACAGTATGTGATTGGGTTATAATATTTCTGTAGTGTAGGAAGTGATGAGCTTTGTGATGTAGAAAAACATGGAAAGATTTGAACTTATGAAGAAAGACGCTATCTACTTCCAGAGAAACAGATGTCAAGTGGAAATAAGCATAGTATGGTCTTACATATGTGTGTACGAGTGTATATGGGTACATGTGTGTATGTTTATAGATATCTATGTACATGTATATTCATTTTGTACTCCAAGGCCAAACTTGCCTATTATTCCAATTATCTTTTGATTTCTTGCTTTAGCATTCTGATCCCCTATGATGCATATGACATATTTCTTTGGTATTATTTCTAGAAGACGTTATAGGTCTTCATAGAACCCATCAACTTTGCACTCAATATGCCAGCAAATTTGGAAAACTCTACAGTGGCCACTGCATTGGAAAATATCCATTTACATCTAAATCCTTAAGACAGCCAGTGCCAAAGAATGTTCAAATTACCAAACAATTGTGCTAATTTCACATGCCTAGCATGCTGAAATCTTAAGCATAACCTTGCTGGCACCTGAAATTAGCTCAGTTGTTGGGTAATTTGAACTTTCAGCAATATGTAAACCAAGAATTAGCAGAAAAGCAGGCTAGTTTTTGAAGAGTCAGAGGAACTAGAGACCAAATTGCCAACATGGATTATGGAGAAAACAAAGGAGGTCTAGTAAAACTCTACTTCTGCTTCATTGCTAAAGCCTTTGAGTGTGTGAATCACAACAAAATATCGCAAGTTCTCAAAGAGATGAGAGTACCAGATCATCTTACTTGTCTCCTGAGGAACACGTATGCAAGTCAAGAAGCAACATTTAGAACTGAACATGGAACAATTGATTGGCTTAATATTAGGAAAGGAGTACGACAAGGCTGTATATTGTCACCTTATTTATTTAACTTATATGCAGAGCACAGCATGCAAAATGCCAGGCTAGATGAATGAAAAGTTAGAATTAAGGTTGCTGGTAGAAATGTCAACAATCTCAGATATACAGATGAACCACCCTGATGACAGAAAATTAAGAGAAATTAAGAATATTCTTGATAAGGGTGAAAGAGGTGGGTATAAAACCTAGCCAGGAGTTTAACATAAAAATATTAAGGTCTTGGCGACTGGTCCCATCACTTCCTGGCAAATAGAGGGAGAAGAAATAGAAGCAGTGTCAGATTTTATCGCCTTGGGCTCAAAGATCCCTGCAGAAGGTGACTGTAGCCATGAAATTAAGAGATACTTGCTCCTTGGAAGGAAAGTCCCTATCTGGATGGCAAATTAAAAAGCAGAGATATCACCTTGCCAACAAAGGTCCTTATAGTACAAGCTACGGTTTTTCCAGTAGTGACGCATGACTGTGAGAGTTGGACTATAAGGAAAACTGAGTAACACAGAATCAATGCTTGTGATTTATAGGGCTGGGAAAGACTTTTGAGAGTCCCTTGGACAAGGGGATCAAATCAGTCAATATTTAAAGAAATTCAGACTATTCACTGGAAGGACAAATACTGAAGTGGAAGCTTCAATGCTTTGGCCACATAATGAGAATCAGGACTCATTGGAAAAGACCCTGATGTTGGAAAAGACTGAAGGCAAAAAGAGAAGGGACAGCAGAGGATGAGATGGATAGAGAGTGTCATGGGGCAGCAAATATGAGCTTGGACAGACTTTGACAGACAGATGGTGGAGGACAGAAGAGCCTGCTGTGCTCTGGTCCCTGGGGTCACAAAGAATGGGACATGACTGAGAAACTGAGCAACATTACAAGTACCAGGCACTGTGCCGAGCACTTTACAGACATCATCTCATCTGAACCTCATATCCCTGGGAGGTAGGTGTTATTATTATCCTCACTTTACAGATGGGGAAACTGAGGCAGAGGTTAAGTGACTTCCCCAGGGTCACCCAGCTAGTCTCTGAGATGATAACCTCATTCACTCAGGCAGTGTCCTCACTGGGTGCTCCTTAGAAGCAGTGAAATCACAGGTGAAAATGCTGGTGAAGAAAGGCTGTATGGAGTAGTTGTTAGGGGGTTGAGATCTCCTCCCATTTGGCTGTCCTACCATTTCACAGAGCTGTTGAGAAAGTGGTTCATAAACACTCAAGTCTTATTGAAAGATGAGAGTCGTTTCTTTGGCATCTCTCCTGGTCTCACCTCCTGGAGAAGCTCACCTGGGAAACTTCTGGGAAGAGACAGGCAGCACTGAGGGAAACTTTCCACTGTTCCTCCCCAGTCACGCCCCCTGCCTAGTGGGGACCTGCATGTCCCAGGAAGGTCAGAGACACTGACCTGTACATGCCAGACTCCATTCCCAAAGCACGGACTGTGGTTGCCCTGAGGGCAAAGCCACTCCCCATCCACACACAACTCCCTTCTTGATCCTCAGGCAAAGTCAGGAAATGCCAGAGGGGAGCCCTGGGCATCTTGCCCGATGTCAACAGGTGTGGAAGGGCTGTCCAGACCAGCAGGACCTTCAGGGGCGGCTCTCTGGGGCTGCCTTCATCCTTGGGTAGTCAGGCTCTGGTCACAGACTTTTGGACCTGGGAGGAGCCCACTTGGGTCACCGAGCCCAACACATCTGTCTTGGGGGCAAAGAGGAAGTGACCTATCTAAGATCCCCCAGCTAGGAAAGGGCAGAGCTTTGACTAGAACCCGGGGTCCCAACTCTAAGTCCTGGATTTTCCCCATTACCCCTCCCTGACTAGGACCCAAGTAAGAAGAAAAGGGGCCCAGACTTCTTTGAGGATGCCTGGAATTCAGGCATCACCTGAAATAGTAGGTCCCTAAGCACTCACTGGGAGAGGGATGGGGGGCAGCCAGCCCCTAGGCAGACAGTGTCCTGGCTGAGTGTCTCTCCTCACCAGACTGATTCACAGCCATGAAGAAATCCCCCAATGTTCGCTGAGCATTGACGCTGAGCCCAAGGCCCTGAATTAAAACCTGCCTCTGTATTTGCAGGTGAGGAAACTGAGCCCTGTCCCCAAGAGAGGGAGACTTGCCTCAGATCACAGGGATCAATGATTTGGATGTTAGAGGACATTGACCCTAAACTGCTCCTTGTAGAGGTAGGGAAACTGAGGCACCAAGAATGGCAAGGACTTGCCCAAGGTCACACATAGGACGAGGGGCAGAGCTGGGATTTCAGGTCCTTTGACTCATCTCTATAGCACCCTAAGAGTCACAAACTGCTTTCTCTGCAGAACCCTCCAAGGCAGGGTCTGCAAATGTTATCCCCATTTTACAGAGGAGGAAGCTGAGGCCCAGAGAGGGAAAGTGATTTGCTTTTGGTCCCATGGTGGCAGAGGCTGGATTCAAACTGAAATCTTGTGACTCCCAATGTGGGCTCTTTTCCTTACTGCCAGGAGTGGTAAGGGATGAACAGGGGAGATTCTGAGCTTCTCCTGGCAGGGGCACCCACTCCTCCCCGACTCCCCATGAGGAGCTGGGGGGGGCAGCTGGCTGGGCACAGGCTGGAGCTGCCCTCCCTCTGCCCTCCCAGCATAGCATGGAAAGACTCATGGCCCCGGGGCTCTCCTGCACCCAGGTAGGGAGGAGGGACCATTTCCCAGATTGTAGAGGTAGGAAGCGAGAGCATGAGGGGAGGGAAGGGAGGCGACAGGGGTCTAGAAGCAGCCCAGCTTTCTCCTGCCCCCTGAGGGGCAGCCCCAGCGCTGCTCTCTCCCCCAGCCCGGGGCTGTCATGGGATGAAGCTTCACCAAGGGAAGGGATACACTCACCTGGCTGGCAGGGGGCCAGGAGGGATGGCAGAGGAGGAATCCTGCCTTAAACATCTTTACTGGGTGACCCTGGGCGAGTCACTAATATTTCTGACTGTTTCCTTATGGATAATCAGGTACCTGCCTCACCAGGTTGCAGTATTAAATGAAATAATGCTTTGCAAATCTTGAAACGCCGGAGCAATTTTAAACAAAATTGGAGATGGTGAATGGAGGAGTGCCAACCTGCCCTGCCCTGCCTTGCCCTGCCCTGCCTTGCCCTGCCCTTCCTGGAGCCCTCTCCCAGCCTCCCATCCTGGGATCATGAGATCTGGCAGGGGCAATGGGCAATGTGATAGAACAAGCAGATAAAGACGTAGTCGGAGAACCTGGATCCAAATCTTACCTCTGACGCTCACTACTAATGCAACCTAAGTCACTTAAATGTTGCAGGGTCTCAGTTTCCTCATCTATAAAATGGACTCTGAGGTCCCTTCTGGATCTGTGAATGTATGAATAAAGTGGGAGCAGGAGGATAGAATTGGAACTGGAAGCGACCTTGGAGATTGTCCAGCTCAACATCCTCTTTTGAGGCCCCTGGAAGGGAAGGGACTTTTCCCAGGTCACATGGCTAAGGAGGAGGAATCTGGCCCATCTGCCTCTGACCTCAGGGCTCTCTCCTCTGGACGAGCTCCCTGAAGGAGGTAGGATGGGGTGATGGGCTGGGCTACTGCCTGGGCTGCAAGGAGCTGGAGGGGTCATTACACTCCCTCGGATCAGCTTTTCTTGCCAGGGGCTCAGGTCTCCAATCCGGAACTCAGGAGCTTCCGAGGCTGGGTCGTCTGTCCTGCTGCTCTGACCTCCTCAGCTAGTTTGGTGCAGGGGAAGGGAGAGAGGAAAAGAGGGGAAGGAGGGGCCCCTTCTTCCCCCCACCCAGGGCCTGACTGCAATGGGCTGCTTTGGGCCCCAGGGGAGTCTGAGCAAGACCAGGGTGGGGATGCCCTGTCTCAAGGAATCCTCCAGACCAGAGCCCAGACTCCAGAGTCTGCTCATGGGATCAAAGATACAGCTCTGGAAGGACTCTCAGAGGCCACTGACTCACCACTCCCATCATTTTACAGATAAGGAAAGGGTCTTGCCCAACATTGGGACAAAAGGCACAGGATTCTTTCTAAACTCAGTTTGCTCATATCTGTAAAATGGATAGAATAACGTTTGTCCTGCCTTCCTAGTTGGGCTGTTTTAAGAAAGGTTCCTTGTAAACTTTAAAGCACCCCCAGACTGCCTTTTAGCTGAAGGAGGTGCCCCTCAGCTGGATCTGTGGTCTGGGGCAGCAGCCAGTGAAGAAGGAAGAACGGACACCCCCACACCTTGACCCATACACACCCCTTTTGTTTTCTGTAGGACCTAGTGACTGTTGGATGAGGTGGTGATGGCAGACAGCCGCGGGGCTCACCTGGATTAGGGCGTCCTGCTGCTGAGGGCTCAGGGCTCTGACTCTGCCACTCGTGGTGCTCCTGGGTCTCTGCTCTTGATGTAACTGCCACCCCTGGCACTGATAGCCTTTTGTCTCGGTTGAGGCTGTGGAAACAGGGAGCATTCCTTTGCTCCTCCCTGGGCGGACTGTCTACTCCGTGCTGGGGTGGACTGGGCTGGGCTGGGTGCCATCCACCTCAGGAGAGCCCAGATGGGATTAGGGAGGGAGAGACTCAGGAACAGTTCTGTGTAAGGTAGGTACTACAGGTATTCTTATCCCATGTTACAGATGAGAAAACTGACAATCTACTCCCTTTGGCTCCACTCACCATCCCTGTGACTCCTCAAACAAAGAAATCCCTGTTCTAGACATTGCTCCCCTATTCAATTATCTCCTATGATAGAATGTGAACTCTTTGCAATTCAGAATTATGCCCAAAGGGCTATAAAACTGTGCATCCCCCTTTGACCCAGCAATGCCACTACTTGGTCTATACCCCAAAGAAATTTTTTTAAAAAGGAAAAGAACCTATATTTATAAAAATATTTATAGCAGCTCTTTTTGTGGTAGCAAAGAATTGGAAATTGAGAGGATGCCCATCAATTGGGGAATGGTTGAACAAATTGTGGAATACGATTATGATGGAGCGCTAGTGTACTATAAGAAATGATGAGCAGCACTATTTGACAAAAACTGCTGGGAAAACTGGAAAAGAGTATGGCAGAAACTAGGCATAGACCAAAGTCTTACACCATACACCAAAATAAAGTCAAAATGGGTACCCGATTTAGATATAAAGGCTGACACTATAAGCAAACTGGGAGAGCGAGGAATAGTTTACCTGTCAGATTCATGGAGAAAAGAGGGGTTTATGACCCAACAAGAGTCAGAGAACATTATGAAATGCAAAATGGCTAATTTTAATTACATTAAATTGAAAAATTTTTGCACAAACAAAGCCAATGCAAATGAGATCAGAAGGGAAGCAGAAAACTGGGAAAGAATTTTTACAGCCAGTGTCTCTTATAAGGGCCTCATTTTTAAAATATATAAAGAACTAAGTCAAATTTATAAGAATACAAGTCATTCCCCAATTGATAAATGGTCAAAGGATATGAAGAGGCAGTTTTCAGATGAAGACACTAAAGCTATCTATAGTCATATAAAAAATGCTCTAGGGGCAGGTAGGTGGGGCAATGGATAGAGCTGTGGTCCTGAAGTCAGGAGGACCTGAGTTCGAATCCAGCCTCAGACCAAACACTTGACACTTACTAACTGTGTGACTCCGGGCAAGTCACTTAACCCCAATTGCCTAAAGAAAAAAAAAATGCTCTAAATTACTATTGATTAGAGAAATGCGAATCAAAACAACTCTGAGGTACCACATCACATCTATCAGGTTGGCTAACATGACAAAACAGGGAAATGATAAATGTTAGAGAAGATGTGGGAAAATCAGAACATTGATACATTGTTGGTGGAGTTTTGAAATGATCCAACCATTTTGGAGAGCAATTTGGAACTATGCCCAAAGGGCTATGAAAATGTGCCTACCCTTTGACACAGCAATAGCAGTTCTAGGGCTATATCCCAAAGAGATCATACAAATAGGAAAGGTCTCACATGTACAAAAATATTTATAGTGGCTCTTTCTGTGGTGGCAAAGAATTGGAAATTGAGAGGATGCCCATCAATTGGAGAATGGCTGAACAAGTTGTGGTATATGAATGTAATGGAATACTATTGTGCTATAAGAAATGATGAGCAGGCAGATTTCAGAAAAACCTGGAAAGACTTATATGGGCTGATGCTGAGTGAAGTGAGCAGAACCAGGAGAACACCGTACACCTTAACAGCCACATTGTGCAATGACTGACTTTGATAGACTTAGCTCTTCTCAGCAATGCAAGGATCTAAGACATCTCCAAAAGTCTCATGATGGAAAATGCCATCCACATTCAGAGAAAGAACTATGGAGTTTGAATGCAGATCGAAGCACACTATTTGCCCTTTTTTTTCTTTTCTTCTGTTTTGTTTTGTTTCTTCTTTCCTGTGGTTCCTCCTATTGGTTCTAATTCTTCTTTATAACATGACTAATATGAAAATATGTTTAATAAGAATGCATATATAGAGCCTATATCAGATTGCATGCCGTCTTGGGGAGGGAGGTGGGCAGGGAGGGAAAGAAAATTTAAAAGTCAAAAGCCTATGGAAGTCAATGTTGAAAACTAAAAATAAATTAATATTTGAAAAAAATAATAAAACAGAAACGATGATCAGGATGCTTTCAGACTCATATGAACTGATACAAAGTGAATTGAGCAGAACCAGAAGAACATCGTATGTAGTAACAGTAGTTATAATGATACAATACAACGATCAACAGTGAATGACTTACGTATTCTCAGCAATACAACGATCCAAGACAAGTCTGAAGGACTCAGGGATAAAAAATGTTATCTGCCTCCAGAGAAAAAACTGTTCAGAGTCTGAATGCAGATTGGAGCGTACTTTTTTTTTAACTTTGTTTTTCTTTTTTTTCTTGGTCTGTTTTCTTTCACATGACTAATATGGAAATATGTTTTGCATGACCACACATGTATAACTGACATCAAATTACTTGCCTTCTCAATGAGGGTGCAAGAAGAAAGAAGAAGGAAGAGAATTTAAATTCAAAATTCTGAAAAAATGAATGTTAAAAATTGTTTTTACATGTAATAGGGAAAAAATAAAATATTTTTTAAAAAAATAATATGAGCTTCTTTAAAAGGCAAGAATTATTTTGTTTTTGTATTTATGTAACCTGTCTAACATGATGCCTGGTACATAGTAGGTGCTAAATAAATGGTTTTTCATTTCATTCATTTATTGTGTGCATTCACCAAGAAATAGTTTTTAGCATAAAGCATCTCACTTTTTAGCAGCTCACAACCCCTACACAGTGTCTTGGTCAGAAGCAGATCCTAAGGCACTTCTCCTGGGTAGAGAATGCAAAGAACAAAAAGGATCCAGAGTGGGGTCAGTGAAAAGTCAGAACCAAGTAGCAGACACAAGGTTGGAAGGAATACAATGGTGACCATGGTCAGACTCACCCTACAGTTTCTGGATCTTCTCTTCAAAGGCTTTGTCAGGGAGTAAAACTTTCACTGTGTAGCTGACCTTCTTGGAGTGGACCAGTCTGTAGGTGTTGTCAAACCGCAGGACATCTGCAAGGGACGGATGGACATGCAGAGAGGTATACCTTCTGTAGCTCCCCACTGTCTACTGAATTAAGCCTAAGCTCCTGACTAGCATGGAAGGACAGGCCCAATCTGCCTTCAATCTGCCTGCCAAGCTTTATTTCCTAGTACTCCCCTTGAAGCATTTTATGGAGAAGGGGCAGGTAATGGAACAGTTACTTCTTTCAGATGCTGAGGTGTTGCATCTGTAGCTTCCAAAGAGCATAAAACTTTGAGTGGTTCATACCAGCTGAGGACAGTAAAGTGATCTATTCACAGACTTAGAGGGGGTAAAGCTGGTAGTGACCCATTTGTACCTTATAAGTTTTCTCTTTACAGACTTGCATGAGTCAATGCAGAGAAGTATTTCTATTTCTTAGCTATTTAGAATGTCTTTCATCCAGTTGATTGAGTTGTAGGGTGGTTAACCATTAGATGGCTGAAAGATCAGTCATACCTCTGATGTGGCCTTAAAAAGTACAAACTAGCTCTGAGAAAGTTATCTTTGGCAGGTGAAAAGAAAGACACCTATGGAGGAAGATTCTTGCTCTCTTTTCATTTTTTCCATAGCCCATTTTCCAGTGTACACCAGTGAAACTTCTTTCTCTTCTTGCCCCATGGCCATCAGCAATGGAATCTCACAGTAGAACAACTAAAAAAATTTAATAAAAACAAGCATTTATTAAGCACCTACTATGTCCTAGGCATTGTACAACTATTATCTCATTTAATCCTCACAAAAACTCTGGGAAATACTATTATTATCCACATTTTACAATTGGGGAAACTGAGGCAAACAGAGGTTTGTTTGTTTTTTTTGTTTGTTTGTTTGTTTTGTTTTTTGTTTTTTTTTGGTTGTTGTTTGTTTGTTTTTGTTTTTTGGGTTTTTTTGGTTTTTTTTGTTGTTTTTTTTTTTAAACAACTTGCCAAGGATCATACAGCTAATAAGTCTCTGCGGCTGGATTTGAACTCATCTGTTTCTGACTCCAGGAACAGTACTCAGTGCACTGCACCACTTAGTTGCTAGATTCACTCTTTAAGACATGCCATGTCCAAGAAAAAGCAGTATAACTTTAAAGTACAAATACTGCTCCCATCAAGAAGAAAACCAAGGGAGCTCAAAGACATTTAGATTTCTTCAGGACTGGTGGTATAAGTTGCCTTGACCACATGTATTTCTTCTGCGTTTGCCTCTCTACTAGAGTACACTATGTCTGTGATTCCTTTTTCCACTGACAGTGTGTATTTGTGGGAGAGGGCACTTCAGTTTTATGGGGGGCATGCTTTGTAACCATTATTCATGCCATGCCATTTCAATAAGTATCTTTGCTTTGAGCTAATTTTGTCAACTAGCTGACTATTAAAGATAAACACACACTAGTAGGGGCTCATGAATTATAGTCTTAGCAGTATGAACCCACAATGTACCTTGAACCTGGATTGGCCATCACTGGACTGACCCAAACTGCAAATGCAATGTGGTGGGAGGGGAGGTAGCCCAGAGGGGTCACTACACCTATTTCCCAGCCAAATAAGACTAGGCACTAGTCCTTGCTCTTATCTGAGCCCTCATCCCACCTCTGTGCCTTCATTCATACTGACCTCTATACTTAGAATGAGTTAGAAATCCCCGCCACTACTCATCTCCCCATCTCTTCCCACAAGGTCTAACACCTAACAAGGTTCTTATGGAGCCAGAAATCTCTCCCTGGGGGCCACTAAAGGGAATGGAAGTGGAATACCATCATCCTACATACCATGGTATGTATTGCCATGCCTGGTCCCAGAATAATTTAATGTTTGAGAGCTTCCAGACTTCCTTGGTTGACTTTCCTTGCAGAATTTGAGTGCTTGGCATCCTTTCTGTCTTTCCTCTAAAGACTCTGAAATCTAGGCTCCATGTCAGACTGTGCCTGATTTCCCCTTTCTTTAATCACAAAGAGTTTTTTAAGGGTGGGAGGGAAGTGATGGTC